TTTTTTTTTTTTTTTTTTTTGCTTTCGATATAATACATATAATTATTTTAATTTTATTTAATTTCATAATTATTATTTTTATTATTTATTCTCCAAACCATTAAAAAATCATTTTTAAATTATATATTGACATTAAATTACAAATATTAATTAAATATTTCATAATAAATAAATACAAATTTACAGACTAGCATTTTAATTAATAAGAATTGTTTGGATTAAAAAAATTTACAACCCGAACAATTGAGTTGGATTACCAATCTAACTTAACCCACGAACACCCCTATAAAATATAAAACGAGATTATTATACTTTTTTTATATAAATAATTTTATCCACGTTTCATATATATATATATATATACATACATGTGATTGATATTGACTTAACGCGAAATACTCAATAAAAGAAGTTTTTATGTTTTTTTTATTTATATAATTTTTTTTTTAAATATCCGGTGGACATTTTATTAAAATGAAAGGTATATATAATTATTAACATTAATATTTAAAACCCTCTCTTAAGTTTATATTAATATTTTCAATTATATTTATGTTAATATTTTTTAAAGTTTTAATTAAAAATATATTTTTTAATTTATTTACTAAAAGATAATAACAATTTTAATTTTCTTTTCTTTAATCCACGTTTGTGTCGTGGCAGTGAAGGAAAGAGATTATCCTTATCTTTAAATTACGATGTACGAATCAATAATTTGAAAGAGAGAGCACATGAAAAAATATTTTTAAAAGCTTAAAATTTTATTGCTTTGATTAAAAATACAGAATATAGAAAATTCTTTTTTTTTTTTTTTGTCTAATAAATTAAGCAAGTTTTAAGAATTTTTTTTTTTAAAAGTTAATAAAATTTTCGTATCTATTAAATTTATTAAAAATAAATAAATTAATTAAGAATTTTATGTTCTCAAATTAATAAAAATACTCTTTATAATTTGTCTAGAAAATATAATAAATTTTAATAATATGCTTAAACTTTAAAAAAAATACTTTTTTTCGTTAGTTTTGTTTAAAAAATATCTTTAAATTTTTAATAATGTTTTAAAAATATCGTTCAATATATATAATATATATATATTTTATAAAAAGTTAAAAAAAAAATATTCTTACCCTTATTATCGTCAATATATAAATGAAAATTATCTATCAACATCTCATATATTATCTCGAAACGATTTGTCGTTACTTTTGAATCTATCAACATCTCATATATTATCTCCAAACGGTTTGGTGTTACTTTTGAAAGTTTATAAACGTAGTACTAATGTAATAATGTCGTCTTTTTTTTTTTTTTGTTACTTTTTAAAAAAAATTTAAGGATGTTTTTGAAGATTTTATTATTATTTTATATATATATATATTATTAATAAAACTTTTGAAATGCTTTCAAAAGTTTTATTTTGTAAAAGCAAAATATGATCGGTTTTCATCGTAAGAATATTTTTAACCTTTTTTTTTTTTCAAGTTTATGAAATTTTTTTAAACATTTAAGGTATTTTAGAGAATTAATTTAGAGAATTAATTGTTATTAGTTAATCATTCTATAATAAATATGAATAACATGATATAAATTTTAAAATTTATTTAGCAATCAATTATTATAATAATTCAATATTACTTATAACTTATATATTTTAAATTTCAAATATACCGTAGACAATTAAATATAAGAGAAAATGAAACTTATTCATGTTTTGACTTGAAACATTGTGTCGTGTTGGTTGAATTGTATGTACAATAAATTGAATGTCATTGAAATGGAAGCATTAGACTTGCAAGCGGTGGGAAGAGAGACTACTACGAACTCGATTTGATATGATAACCAACCTTGGAGAAGTAGGAGGGTTCGAATTCTAAGGATTGGATAGCTATTTCTAGAGGCTGGAGTGCTAATTGGCGAAGCTAGAAATGGCAAAGTCTTCACTCCTCTCAATATCGTTCCCTCAAATTATATGGGACAAATACACTTATATACACCTCTACCTCAACGGTTAGAGTTCATCGGTTCTAAATGCAGGCTAGAAATGGCAAAATCTTCACTGCTCTCAACATCGTTCCCTCCAATTATATGGGACAGATAAACTTATATACACCTCGACTCTTCTCACAAGATAATCATTTGACCTACACTTAGACTCGTCTCACAAGACAACTGCCAACCCTATCACACAACCCTATCACACGTGATTATCAAAATAACTCATAAGAACGTCAAACTTTTGGTAGGCAGCCCTTGCTCCAAGTTCTAGACTCGAATAGCCATTGACGACTAATGAAAACCTAGAGTTCTTATACCAAGCAGCAGATTGAAAAAGAGAACCAGACAATAGTAAAGAGTAAGATGATAAAACTGGAACTAATTAGCTAACGCATCATCAAATAACTTGTTTATAACTTTCCAACACCAATATTGTTCATGTTTTCTATCTCAGTGTCACCTAAAAGGATTATTTTTTCCATTCACTTTGCACTTTGGGTAGCTCTGCACTTGGCTAAGTACAAGAAAACTGATAAATGTAACTGCAAATGCAGAGGCTAGATTAAGATACAAATAGATAGGCCAGATAGAGGCAAACCACATCATCAATATCAGTATATCCAAAAGTATATTTGGATTATAATTCAATCGGCCGACTTTACCACGATAAACTATGAATGACAAATCAATCGACGATCTAAGTCGTTGTTCGCTATAACCCAAGGTCCTGAGATGACTCCGTGATGCTTTCGAGGACAGAAATCTTTATCCTTGATTCTTCTTTAATCGAGTACGTTACCTCCAATTGTGGACAAATAGCAGCCTGATGGGTGTGTTATCTTCGCATCACACGATGGCGTTCACGTTTCCGGAAGCGTTCTAGCATGAACTCATCGGTTGCAGCCTGCCTTTGTCCTGCAGCCTCTGTGCCACTATCAGTTGGTTTGGAGCCTGAACCATCATCTTGCAAATTTCTATTCTTGTACAGCTCAGGATGTTCTGCATATTTTTCTATTCATCGTCAGAACAGTAAAATATCTAATTAACACACGATTATATGTTCATCCCTTTCTCCGGATACAAGGGTTCTTGGTTTAATGATTGAACAATCCAACAAATATCTAGAATTTAGATCATAGGCATGCTTTTAGTAACATCAACAGAGTACCACCAGACTTTAACATACTCTAACATTTGAAATGCAGAAAATTTGTAAGAAACTATCATCATAGGAAGGTTATCACCAAAATTTTAAATCAGATCCGGGTAAATAACAGTGCAATATCATCCCAAAAGGTAAAGTAATATAAAGAGACGAGGCACCTCTTCTAAGTTTTTCAGCATAATCCCTGCCACGGTGGAAGTAATCGGCACTATAACTAGATGGGATGCTAAACTCGGATTTTGAACGACCGACAAATCTCTTTTCCTGCAAAAGCTTTTTTGCAGCCTCGGTCTCCTCAATGTTCTTCAACTTGAATCTGTTCAAATAGAGATAATGACCACACAAAGGTCAGAGGAAAATATCCTCACCAAATGCAAATATGAAATATACTCATGTGGATTGAGAATATTTGCTAAAACCACCACACCTAAACGGTGGTGAAAGTTCTCTACTTATAATCATTTACGGAACCAAATAAAGTACAAAGGAAATGGAAAGAGAAATAAGTGGATACAAGATAGTTGCCTATAAAAGGTCAAATATGATACCTATGATAAACCGTAATGGAAGGCTAAATATCCTCAATCGTACAACATCTTTGTCTATAATAAAGGGTCAAATATGATACATATGTTAAACCATAATTCAAGGCTAAATATTCTTAACATGGATGATAACTATTGATCAATAAAAGTATCATAAGCTACCAAGTAAAGCTTAATCTCTAAGTAATTGCCAAGTAAAGCTTAATCTCTAAGTAATTGGTTTCGTTCCACTTTTGTTCCTGCTTTTGATTACCCCAGTTCACAGAAAGTATTAAGAAGCGAACATCGTTGGGATGTGTGAATTAAACTCTTTCAAAAAGGAGGGGAAGGACATACTCAATTGGAAGCTGAACCTCTGCAATCCCTGTAGTCCACTGAGTGGAACTTTCATTAGAATTTCGTCTTTTCACCTGACAAAATCCAAAAAATGATAAGCATAAACAAGTCCCAGAATATACAAACCGGATGAATCTAAATACTAGCTTCGATCATTCTAACAAAAATCAAATGCAGCACTCAGTGAAATAGCAATGAACAGAAGAACTGAAAGATGTGAAACAAGAACGCTAAGAACACTAGATTGACTACTCACTCACTTTAAGATGCTCTGGGATTTTGTATAGTTCATCTTCTGCCTGTTTCAAGTCATTCTCAGCTCCTTCTACATTCTCCACAGTTCTTCCTCTTTTCTTCGCCAGTTCTTGTTCAATGTACTTCAACCTATTATGAGAACTCATCAAACCCCCAATTTTAAACATATTAAAACATCCCTCACCTCAATTCCTAGAATATAATCCATCAAATAGAAAAAAATTCGTTGAGAACGACACAATTAAGGAGAATATTACATATTGGGATCTTCAACCATGACGGCAGTTTCCTGAGCGAATGTATCCTGAAGGACCAAATCATCCTTGTCGCCTTCGCCTCCAGCACCTTCATTCTTATTGCCCCCGCCCCCGCCGCCACCAATATTACTGTTAGCGTCAGTGGGTTTCCGAACAAGACCGCCGACAGCACCGGCAGTGCTAGTCTGCGTCGATACTGCAGGAATTGCAGGAATTCCTGCCCTCCTCTCCCTCTGTTTCTGCAAGAATTTTACCTCCTCCAATGCCAACCTGTGCTGTTCTTCCTCCTCGTCCAGTTTGGTGCTGACGGAGTTTGCATCATCTCCTCCATCTTCTGAATCACAACAATTTCTTCTCCGGAAATTCTTCTTTTTGGACGGTTGATTCATCTAATCCTACCGGAAGAAAGCCCTAGTTTCAGGCTTTTCTTTCTCAAAATCTGATCTCAATTCTCCCTCCAATGTCGCCTCCAAACTCTTTTATCAATTCAAATTCTCTTTAATTTTTTATTATTCTATTTTAGTTTTTTTTTCTTTTACATTTTACAAATATCTATTTTTAAAATATTTATTTCATTTTATCCTTAAGCTTTAAAAATTGGCTTCATTTAATTTTAAAATCATAAATTAGCAAATAAATAAAAATAAAAAAATGAATAATTTAAAAGTTTAAAAATTAAAATTGTTATTTTTAATAACCAAAATAAATTTTTTATAACAATTATTTTTCCTCAGCCTTTTTTTCAAAATAACTTAGATAAAATAAAATTAGGTTTTAATTTAAATCATGTAAACTTTGTAAAAAAATATTTTCATATAATAAATTATTGCTGGATGTGATAGTGAGTTATTAAAGATTCTATTAATAAATTTATATATTTTTTAATCTCATAATTAATATTAAATGGTAAATAAAATAATAAAAATATTATTAAAATAAATAATTCTAAGATTATATTAATAAATTTATATATTTTTTTATCTCATAATTGATATTAAATTGTAAAAAAAATATTATTAAAATAAATAATTCTAGGGTAAATTAATAAAAGTACCTTTAAACTTTGTCGTAATTTAAAAATTTTGCCATTAGTTTTGGATGAAAATCATTAATACTTTATTTTAAAAATATCTTCAACTTCGTAAAAAAGTGAAAAGATGCCGTTACAAATATGTTTAAAAAAAATAAGCATGAAAATTTAAAAGTAACATTAACAAATTTTATCTTTTTTTTCAATAAAAAAATTCAAAAAAGTTTTTTCTTTCGAGATAAAAATCATATATCATCACCTCACCTCGTAGTTATGACTTTTATTAATATTAATTTTAAAAATGTACAAGCAATAATAATACTATTTTTGAAATTATTAAATTTTTTAAAGTATTTTAAAAGTTTTTAATCAGTCAAATTTTTGAAACTTTAAAATATTTTTGGAATATTTTTTTTAAAATGATTTTTTTTTAAAACCTATTTTTGAGTTTTAAAAAAAAAATTGAGATATATTTTATAGCCTAAATTCTAATACTATTACAAAAGATTAATAATATATATATATATATATATATATATATTAGTATTCTTAATTTTTATTTTTTAAGTTTCTAAAAAGATAAATAATATTTTTTTCAAAACTATATATGTATTTTTTATTATTATTGTTATTTTTAAAAGAGATAGAATAGGTGAACAGATATTGATCAACACAACCAAAGCCACGGCATATTGAAGTTATCCGGTGAAATTTCTTGCAGATGACAGCCATGGCCTCCGCCGTTCCAATGGGTGTGTTGGGCACTTTGCCTTCTCCCTCACAGGTTCTCTTCCATCTCCCACTGTGCTTCCAACTTTACTACACCTGCATTTGCGTTGTTCATATCAGATTCCAAGTTTCATCTGTTCTTCGTAACATGAAGTCGTCTGATTCGTGTTATTTTTGTTTAATTCTGTTCTTCTCATCCCAATGTTGATTTGTTTCATGTACAGGGGCGATATTGCTTACCCTCGTTGAAGTCTACAAAAACTCAACTGATATGTAGTTCTACGAGTTTGGTACCAATTTCATTGCAAGTTCGATCTATGAACTCCCCTGTAAGAACACTGACATGGGGATCTCGACGCTCGAGTTTTCCTATCTTGAGAGAAGCGTTTCCCGTGAAGAACAGAAGACTCGTCTGTGCAAACACCGCGGCAAAAGTAAATGAGTTATTATGCTCGATTCCTTCTTAGTTTTGAATTTATTCTGTCCACTGGCTGAAAGAAAAGGGGAAACTATTCCGTCTCATGTTATGAGTTTAGATTGAAATAAAGATTTTCTAGTGCAGTATATGTGTTGTACACGTATAGCTTTTCAACTTAGAAGGGATTAGATATTTTAATGTTTGTTGATTGAGTTGATTCTTTGTTCAGAAATTTTCTGCGTTGTTGTTATTGATTATGTCCTCATATTAGTCATCTGTTTTGTTAATCTTAAATGTTATATTTTCTATGAATGTAGGATGTTTATCTTAATTGGTATCTGAATGTTTCCTATAAAACAATGTAGGACGTAGAGCTGCAAGCAGAAGTATCAACTAAGTGCTTTTTCGATGTAGAAATTGGAGGTGAACCAGCAGGTAGAATCGTGATAGGACTTTTTGCAGATGTTGTTCCAAGAACTGTTGAGAATTTCCGAGCCTTGTGCACAGGCAAGTTGGAACGCCACCTTCTTCTTAATGATTTTTGTTAAAAAAAAAAAAAAAATTTGACTTCTTCTTGGAGAATAATTTTCCCACTTGGTTCATTGATAATCAAATAAAGTATCATGGTGCAGGAGAGAAGGGATATGGGTATAAAGGATGTTCCTTCCATAGGGTGATAAAAGATTTTATGATTCAAGGAGGGGACTTCACTAATGGAGATGTACTCACTCTTTCTCTCTGAACGTATATACACTTATATGTACTTATATGTGTATATACTAAATACCTATACACACAAATGGAATCCTAGGCTTTCTGGAAAAGAAGCCTCCAATCTGATTTAAGCTGTATTGTTGTTATTTTTGCTGCAGGGAACTGGAGGTATTAGTATCTATGGTCCCAGTTTTCGAGACGAGAATTTTTCATGTATGTCATGACTATTTATCTATATGACCGTTGTGATTCTGGAACGGTTAACCTTTTGGTATCAGCTTCTGGGTAGAAGTATGTCAGGAAATAAAAATAAAGCTGCAACGGCACCTAATACTATTTGACTTATTTGCAGTGAAGCATGTAGGGCCTGGTGTACTTAGCATGGCCAATGCCGGACCTAATACTAATGGAAGCCAATTCTTCATCTGCACTGTTTCGGTAATTCAACTTCTGCAGCCTATTGCTTTGAACATGAATGGAATTGTTCCTCTTTCATTTCAATAACTTTGGTTTGCAATTCTTTTCTGTTTAAGACACAAAGTTTAATTGTAGAAAAGTATCTATAGAGTTGTAGTGGGACTTGATAAAGAAACTCAAACTACTAATCATAACGAGTAAAAATCTGACCCTGAAAAAAATGACTTAGTATGAGGATTGGATGCTGGTTATTTGTTGCATCGATTAGGACTTTATCTTGTTGAAAATCAGGTCATATATGATTGCAAAAGAATGAATGAGATTGATCTAAGCTTGATTTATAAAGGGTCTATTAGTGGATTGTTATTTTTGTTTATTATCCTCCAAACTAAGGAGATCTTCTGTTCAAAACACTTTAGGACTAAAGAATTAGCTAATGATCTAGACAATCAACTACTAGAGCAGATTTAGGAACATCTGTTCCTTGGTCGAGGATGTCCTTTATGTTCTACAGTGTTGGGGAATGGACATACTGTGGTGAAGGTATATAGGGGCTTCTTTCGTATAAATCACCCTCAGTTTGCAGATAGTATTTGATTTTCTCCTCCTTCGAGCCTGCCAAAAAATTCATAATCTACTCCATGTTTTCAAACTCTATGATTCAAGTTTAGAGACCTTTTCTTTTTATATATCCTCTTCTTTTAATAGAAATAGTTTCTTATTAGAAAAAATGATTGGTTTCCATGTATTATATATCAAAATAAGGGAAACTTGCTATTCTTGGATGGCAAATTAGATTATGAGTTCTAGACATGAAATATCTTGGAAAGCTGAACTGATGTTCATATGTTCATTGAATTCTTGAACTGAAAGCAATCATATGAATTATTGAATTCAAAGCATGCTTTTTTTTTTGTCTCAGCATAACATTTTGTTAACATAGATTTCTTTTACTCCACGTCTCTGTCAATAATTAATGCATCTACATTTTGCATCAAATAGACTCCTTGGTTGGACAATCGCCATGTTGTGTTTGGACACGTTATCGAAGGAATGGATGTTGTGCGAAAAATTGAATCACAAGAAACAAGCAGATTAGATATTCCTCGCTTGCCATGCAGAATTGTTAATTGCGGAGAACTAAAGGCTGACGGATGATGATTGATTAGCCCTGTTGTAACTGTAGCTATTAAGTTTTTTGAGGCTTAGGTATGCACACGATTAACATTATTAGTTCTGAGTAGAGAATATTATGGAATTGTTGATTGTTGGGAATCACATATATATTGAGGGATGATAAGGCCTCTTGTATTCTCTAGTAACTGATGTATCTTTGTGATCTATTTTCATCTTTAAAATTCCTGTTCTACATTTAAATTTTTTTAGCGTGGTCGACACGTGAGACTCAGTGCTGTTATCTATGAGTATCGAGAAATGTATTATGATTGCAGCAATACCATAGTTAAAACTGTAAGCTATTAGTAGATTGAGAACTGCTACAGCATATTCATAGGTAACAGAGAAACAAATGAAGTACAAATTCGTCTAAATAGCCACCCATGTGGGCGTGAGGTACAGTTCTTTGGTATGAATTAGTTCCACATTAAGTAACAAAGCTTGCAGAACAGAATGGTTTTTCCATGTTATACAACTTATTTTGCATTCTGCCTGTAAATATATTTTTAAATTCTTGTAAGTTTATAGTCAATGCATTCATCTTATTAAGCCATGAAGATGCTTAATTCAAAATTGAGGATGGGCAGGATTATGCATGGACCATAGTTTCAACTGCAGGGGACTGCTTAGCCTGCTCTGGCTGGTCGACGTCTTCACCTTCCCATAACTCTGGTAATGCCTCTTTTATATTGTGGATGCTACCTAAGGCATGGTCAGCCCCAGGGACTAACTCTGATCTTCCAACCTGCAGGTGATGCGATATTTTCAGGATGGCATTGAAGATTGATTCAGGGCATCATGATCAATTGATTAAGTCCAATGCCAACCAAAACAAATATAATACTTACTATAACTGTGTGAAGGCCTGCTGCTTTTCCACTCTCAATATTTCGGATGCTGTCATCGAAAAAGATCTGAGGATGGAAAAAGAAAACTTTTTTTAGTGATTTTTTTTAATTCTCTGGAACAGGGAAAAGCTAAATAAATATATTGATAGTCGGTCTTGTTACCGTTTTCTTGGGGTCAATATCAGTAATTTTGATGGCAGCTTGAATGGCTTCAATGGAGGGCTTGCAGAGGATGCCATTGCTTTTGCTTTCTGAAGATTGGTCATTAAGAGTTTCAAAGCATATAACCCCTTCAAAACAATCTTCTAAATCCAACCTGTGAAGAACTTGAGCTACATGGCCCTTGTCAGCATTTGTGAAGATCTGCACAAAGTTATGTAGGATCACAAAGAAGTATACGAATACAGGTATGTTTTTATCAATTGCTATGACTTTTGTTGTTTATTTACAATTTTACGCTGTGGCATGGAAAGTAGGAGGTTCCTCAAAACTGGATCAGGGTTCAGTGCCTCATAAGGTAAGGTACCATGAACACAGGCGTGATACTCGTCATCGTCAAATTCATAACCCAAAGCCTAGTAAGAATATCACGCATATCATCATTATCTTCATGTCATTAGACGTAGTGAAGTGTCAGCTTAAACATAGCTCAACTGATTAAGATATTAATAACCTCGAACTCACCTTTAGCCCGGCCATTGTTGTTCCATATTCCACATACAAATCCAAGCAGATCCTAGGCACTTCACTTTCCTCCATATGCAGATACTTCAACATAAACTCTGCATTCATTATCATCCCAACAAATAACATCATCCGTTAATAGTACGACTTTTATGTGTTTTCCAACTTGAAATCATTTGTGTTAAACTTTACCTTCAATTTTCTTCCGGCATGCCAGGTTAATCCCACAACTTCTAGGGTACAAAGTATCGTCCATGTCTGTAGACACATCTATCAGCTTTATTAAACAAGTCACAACATATTATATTTTCATATTTTCCTCACAACTCAATTCTAAAACATTTCATAATCATATACTTCTCTTATTTATGTGTATAGGTAAAATACCAAATAACAAGCATTCATATGTGGAGCTTCCATTGTTCCTGCCAGCATCCATCTCTTGCAAGAATACCTTTAAGAAAAAGCATACAATAAGATCAGAGATAACAACGACCAAACCGAGGTTAGTCAATGCTCATGCTAACCGGAAAAATGAGGTAAGAACATAAACCTTAGTGAACTAGGTAAAGAAAAATGGGAATGGCTGGTTGGTTCAAAATGACAAATGCTTCTAGTATATATAGCTTGATGTCGATCTGATGCCCTGTTTATTGGCTTTAGTTGAAAAAAATGGATATGAGTTCATGCAAGTAGATATATGCTTCCAAAGGCCTCCAAAAGGAACATTATTACAAAATATTCTCCAAGAATGCAATGTTTGTATGATGCAAGAAATGGGGTTGGGAATAATATAAAAGGAAATCCCAACAGAACTTTGATACATCAAGTAATTTTGACAGGATAGATGTAGGTGGATGTCAACAAGGATCCCATTTCTTTACATAGATGAAGAAGAATTCACTTTGCTTCTGTTACTTGTAAACTTGTAAGCTTGTAATGCAATCTCATAGATCTCTGATGAGTTTGGCCATTATTTTATCTTATCATATCATAAGCTTAGAGCCACACAAATGGAAAAGATAGTGGTTACCAAAAGGAGGGATAAAATTTTATATTCAGGACGGGAAATTTGGATGCTTTATTTGCACACACGTCCCCAGAAAAATATGTTTTTTTGTAGTTTGTGTAGACATTTTATGCAATTTCCTTTTTAATCCATGCATGAAAGATATACCATTTATGGAGTATATTACTAATGGAAGTTTATTTATTTATTTACCACTTTTATCTTGACAGCTGATCTACTATATTTATAAATTTATTAATGATGAATGCCTTTATTGATAGATGTCTATGGCATAGATCAAATGATAGTCGTTTATCGCAATGACACGTCGTACTTTTTTAACTGTGCAGCGTCGTGATTTTGATACGCCCACAACAAGTTTTAAGGAGAATTCAATCCCTATTCAGATTTTTCACTGAACTTTGTGGCTTCGTCGAATGTTTGATGAGGTTTATCTCCGTCAATCGAACACAACTTGTGCAGAATCCAAGCTTGTTTAGCAACATACGCCATTCGTGTGTGTATTCAATCATCTGCGACACAATAATGTCGTATCTCATTGTCTTCTCCATTTTCAATAACACGACTCATGCATCGTGATGTCATCCCATGTCTTGAGACACATTAGCCATCTTGTGCTTGGACACATTCGTTGAGAACTGACCATGTTGAGATATTTTTACTCGGATTGTGCTTATAATTGTGTTATATTTGTAATATTTTTAGGTTAAATTACACATTTAAGTTAACATTGAAAATTCATGAACTTTTTGGACACAAAATTGAAAATTTAGGATTTATTAGAAATATTTTTTATACAAGATTCCAAATTTATGGATTTATTAGACACTTTATTTTTATAAATAAAAAATAAAAGAGTAGGAAAAAAAAAAAAGTGAAAAAAATCAAATTGTTTGGAATCAATAAAGTATATATGAGAATAAGGTGGAGTGGAGCTTTAGTTGAAAGAGCAACAATGGTAGCAGCTTCAAGTAGAAGTGAGTAATGTGCCAAGTATATACTAACATTCCTTGCATTGCCATGATTCGTTGAGAAAAGATATTGTGTAAGTTGACCATAGTCTAAATGTCTTTCGTGTTCGTGACGTCTTTATGTCTCACACTTGTATTAATTCAAACATAGTCAAACTGATCAAACATAAGTTTAAAATTGAGACAAAGAAACGTACCTAACATTCACCTAAAAGCAACAAAGGAAAGAACACGTACAAAAAAGTTTAGAGAATGAAACAAAAACCTACGTTCTTTAAGTTGAAGATAAGTATTTCTATGAGAATCATTTAGAGTTTGTTACGTTTATATTGCAAATTACGTTAAAGATGAACCAAACTGAATTTAGCGAGGATGCATGCCTCCTTGAGAGGTTGACCATAGGGAGGTCGAGGGCGAGGACGTGTAATTGGTCTCCTTTTCTCAGGGCTTTTGATTGAAGTTCTATGAGCATGATTGAGACAATCTACTATCTTTAGTAGAAGAGTGTGTCAAGACTATTTCTACAGACCAACACAAGTCCTCTAAGCATGTTTTGTTCTCACTCACATATATTAAGAAAAAATTCCTAAGAGGCCGCCCAACACAGAATTGCTCTTAAAAAATCACGCTTAACTATGAAATTTCTATGATTGAGCCATCGAGAAGGAAGGTCCACATTATTAGTATAGGTAATAGTTTCCATTTCCTTTCGACCTATCCTAGTCATCTTATCCTCAAGCTCCCATGCGAGCATGTTCTCGGTTCATTTATGTAGCTATTTATTTACATAGTTTCGTGGATAAGATACTTGCACCATGTTTTGTTTTAGAAAGTGATTTTAGCAAAATTAACTAATTTATTATTTGTTTATTAAAATTAATTAAAGAATATTTGAGAGTGAGTTTAGAATAAATATTTTAAGCTAAAGTATTTTAGTTTATAAATCAATTTTATAGAAGTGTTTAGTTACAAAGCATTTTTTGATATTTAGTTCCACTTATGATTAAAATTAATTAAAAGTAGCTTTTTAATGTAATTTTAGAATATCTATTACATTTTAAATTAAAAATATATAATTAAATAAAGTCTTGATTTAAAGTCTACCTAATTAAAATTTAGAAGAGGGCAGATAATATTTCTTATTACATAATTTAGTGCATATTACTCAATTTTAAAATAAAAGTATAATAAAAGTTTCTCGTAATAAAATAATATATTTAGCGATAAATGTGATTAGAGAATTCTGTCATAATTTAATGAATATATCAATTATCATTTTAAAAGTTGGTAGGTTTAGTATTGGTGTTACTCATGTAAACGATGGTAGAAACCGTGGTAAGATTCAGATTGAATGGACAGAGGGAATGAGGTTTAGTTTTGTTTCAGGATGAACGCCTCGAAATCGAAAAAGTTGTTCGACGAACCCGTCTCATAGTCAGGTAGGCTTGTACCATTACGCTCACGAGTAAAATCTTAGCTTGAGCCTACCTTCACACACCTTCGTTACTCTTAAGAGGCATCCACCCGAGACAAACTACTCACCTTGCAGGGCTCGTTCCATTTTAGTCTAGGTGCTTTCAAACGTTTCAATTTAATAATATTTTTTCCTGTATTTTTTGTGTTTAATTTTTTTAAAAAAAATTAAGCTTATCAATTAAACTTTTAAAAGAAATTAAAAACCATCCAAATTTCTTTAATGCCCCTTAATTTTGTCTCATTTGTGTCAATGGCCCCCGACAGGTTCGGGGACTTGCAGGTCATTCCAAAATGTTGTTATAGATAACGAATCCACAGTTAACTCTGCAGCCTTTCTTCACCATCAATTTTTCAATTACCTCTCCGCCATGGCCACCGGCGCCACGCTTCTCACCGACCACCCCTTCCGGCGCCCTCACCTTTCCACTCTTCTCCGCTCCTCAAACATTCCTTCTTTCCACCCACTCCGCATCTCTATCCGTATCAATCGCCTTCGCCCCAACTTCAGATGCTCAATCGCCGAGGGCTCCACCGCCCTTTCGCCTTCCAAGGGTTCTGCTCCCTCTTCCATTGTGGACTGTGTGGTCATCGGTGGTGGAATTAGCGGCCTCTGTATTGCTCAGGCCCTTGCGACCAAGCACTCTGATGTTGCCCCTAACATCCTCGTTACGGAGGCGAGGGGTCGCGTTGGAGGCAACATTACTACTGTTGAGAGGGATGGCTATCTCTGGGAAGAAGGTCCTAATAGCTTCCAGCCCTCTGATCCTATTCTCACTATGGTGGTTGGTATCATTCTCGTTATTTGTTTCCCGTCTTCTCCATTTTGGGTTGTGTGCTGAATTGCTATAAATAATGTCACTCTCCTTTCACTCGTGGATTGAAGCTGATTTTGTTGACCTTCTCTTGAGCATGGGAGCCCAAATTTATTTAGGGAATGGGCAAAATTGTAGGTTCTTACTGACTTTGGGGTTAAATTAGAGAGGAAACGTTTAAATTTTCAACCTTTTGAAGTAATTTTTATAATCTAAGACGAAATAAGGTGGGCAATTATCTCCTCTTTCATTCAAGCAGCCATCGTCTAAGCAAATTATTACTCTCAGTTGACAAAACCTTTTCTATTATGCCATTTACCGTAACCTTTTCTAAGGCTCTTCTGGTCATACTTGTTCTCATCAGTCCATGCTAAGAGTTTACTTGTGATGTGATAAATTTTTCCAAGCATACTAGTGAACCTAGTTATTCATGTCGTTCCTCTAAAAAGAAATAAATAAAGGGTCCCTCTGTCTATGAGCGAAAATCTTCTCCGAAATCTGTGAATGTAAATTCTTTATTGCGGATAAGTAGGCACTCTAGAAAATGTCAATCTGTCTTGAGTATGTGTTGAAGAAGGTACCCACTCTCAGTTGCTTAGTTTTGTTGATTGTAGTTCCGTGGGATTTTTTTTGCTCCAACTAACTACACCAATTAGTGTAGTGGGAGGGGATCTTCATATTCGTTACTATCTATCACTTAGGAATTTATTTTCTTATGATTTTGTAAGTGGTATGGAAGTTTATTTTAGGGAGTATTTTTCTTTGGGTGCGTTTTCCCGGTGTTATTTGTTTATTTGTTGATTCATATACTATGACAGGTAGATAGTGGCTTGAAAGATGATCTAGTTCTGGGAGATCCAGATGCACCTCGCTTTGTATTGTGGGATGGAAAGCTCAGACCAGTGCCCGCGAAGCCTAATGATCTACCTTTCTTTGACTTGATGAGCCTTGGTGGAAAAATCAGAGCAGGCTTTGGTGCACTGGGCATTCGCCCTCCTCCTCCAGTTTGTGTTCTCAATCCTCTTTCTCTATATTGAAGTACATTGTCACTTTTACATGCCCCATCAATCTCAGAAAAACAAAAATTTATAGTTTTAGGTTCTCATATGTTGTAATACTGACAAAGGTAACAGGGTCGAGAGGAATCAGTGGAAGAATTTGTTCGTCGGAACCTTGGTGATGAAGTTTTTGAACGCTTGATAGAGCCATTTTGTTCGGGTAATTCACTATATTCAATTACTTCCATATATCCATTTTATTTTGAGCATATATATATATTATATTGTTAAGAAACAATGAAGGAATATACTCCACAATAGAAGCGAGAACAACCCAAGGGCCGGAGGTAGAGAGCACCCCATCCCCCCATAGCCAG